TATTCGATATGTTGTATATATTGGCCAAAGAAGGGGTCGCCGTATACTCGGGTCCGCCCCGGGGTTTGCGCTCACATTTAAGTCAATGCAATATTCAATGCGATGAAAATCAAATACCAATTGAAGTGCTAATCAAACTATCGGCCAATGGATCCAGTGATGAGAATGTGATGCAAATGTGTGTCAAAACAAATGAAGTAATAGAGAAATACATAGAGAATATTCGGACACAACTGGATATCTCTTCGCACGGAATTGTCGTTTATTTCAAACACTTTTCTATCACTGAATTCCTATACCTATTGTCGAGAGCCGTCGCAATCATCCGCCGACATAAGTGGCCCATAATATTGATTATAGTGTTTATTAATATATCGTTTGCGTTGTTTCTGAAAATTTTGCTTAACTATTCATTGGATTCGGCGGACAGTTGTGTTGCTATCGGTGCCAATGGGGCCGATGTTTGCGAACAAACTACGAGTCGTCTATACAGCGACAAAATGATCGCATATAATATATCTTATTTGTATTTTGCCATTAATGTGCTGTTTGTGGTGCAAATATTCTTCGATTGCGTGACCATGGGCAATGATTTGCCCTTGGTCATTCGACAGTGTCATAACTGTATGTGTATTCTAACCACATTTAATTCGTAACATTACTTTGTGACGGATCCTGGTTTTCCAGACCTCACACTTTACCTATATTTACTTTACCAATATTTAATTGACCACTTAGACTGGTATTCTGTGGAATCTTATTTTATGGTCAATTTCTTGATAAATATTATACCAGTTTTTGTCGCAAATCTTTGTGTATCGTTTATAATCGATATTTACGACCGATTGGACGCAATGCCGATGTTTATGACCATATCGTTGGCCGCAGTGGTCATACAGAGGATCTGTCATTTAGTTAGCATATGTTTGCCCCGACACACGGCCTTCGCAGCCATAATGCTATCCGTGTTGTGCGGTCTCACTAACGATACTTTTATACGCATTACTCGATTGTCACACACAGTACAACATATGGTCAATATATTGCCCTTCAAACCCGTATTTAACTATTTAATGGTCTATCTGTACGGTCGCGGCCGCTGTCCCACCACTACTCACATATCGTCCGTATTATATAAGTTTCAACTGACGGACGAAGACTTGGATAAGTCGTGGCGTCTATTGATATTTCAATGCATTTTTTATACAATTGTTTCGTATTTAGTGCTTAAAGTTAGGATTCACTCGCAGTCCATACAAATTAAGTGCAGAATATTCTTGAATTATTTTAAATGTTGTTAATTGTAAAGCCATTTATATTTCAATCTAATAAATATTAAGAATTATTTAATGCAAAAAATTTAAGGGTATTTTTTCTGGAATTATAATAAATAACTGTCATTCTGTTTAAAAAGTCTATAACTCATAATTTCACTATTTTTGTAATATTTATTCCAATATCTATTAATTAAAATTTAAATACCTTATTCTCTAACTAATAGGGGAGAACTCTCTAACTTGTAACGCTATTAACAATACATTTTTATTTTATAGTACTGTATTAATTACTTTTTTAATTAAATATAAAAACAGGCATTAATATAACCATATTTGATAAGAATTAATTTATTAGAAAACACCATTTTAATAAAGTTAAGTTAGGGCACAAAAATGTTGCCATTGTATTACGTGGCGATAGCGGTAATTGTAATCTACATTTTCTATACACTGTTCATCGACAATGACGATCATGATCGATTGAAAGTATGCAAATAATTAAATTGTAAATAATATTTATTCAAATATAAAACTAAACTTTCAATAAACAGCCGATCTTTGAAGACGTCGACCGGCCGTATAATCGCAATGTCATCGACGGTCAGTACCCGAAGGGCTGGTATATAGTGTGCGCTTCAGATGAGGTGCCGATGGGTGGCGTCAAACCGTTTAGCATTTGCGGTCAGGAATATCTGGTTTTCAGGGGCTATTCGGGTGTGCCGTCCGTATTGACCGCCTATTGTCCCCATTTGGGCGCCAATATTGGTATNGAGGTGCCGATGGGTGGCGTCAAACCGTTTAGCATTTGCGGTCAGGAATATCTGGTTTTCAGGGGCTATTCGGGTGTGCCGTCCGTATTGACCGCCTATTGTCCCCATTTGGGCGCCAATATTGGTATCGGCGGTGTTGTGACCAGCGATGAGTCGGGCGATGATTGCGTTCAGTGTCCGTTTCACGGCTGGGTCTTCCGGGGCGCTGATGGCCAATGCGCTCGTATACCCAATATTGACAGTAATGACCGAATTAGTAGATAATGTTTTGTAATTAATTTAATGTTTTATTAAATGTGGTTAATTAGAGGCCGATTTGAAGCCATTAAACGCTAAAGTAGGCCCTCAGCCGAGTACCGAAGTCAATGGATTGATCTATATGTGGCACAACACCACCGGTAGTGGTCCCGACTTTAATCCGCAACAATTGTCCCAAACATATCAAATGGATTTGCGTTTAAGCCGTAGATTTACGGTTGAAATCGAGAACTCTGTTAAAGTTTGTAAACTATGCTCTCTCTCTCTCTCTCTCTCTCTCTCTCTCTCTCTCTCGAATTTCAATGCATTTCACTGTCATATTCTGATCCTAATGTTCACTACTGATGGCTAATCACCCGTAGAATATCAGTGAAGACATAGTAGACGGTGAACACGCGTATTACGTTCACGGCATCAAAGGCTTTGCGGCCAAATTTTTGGCCGCGCAATACGCGACCGATTTCGTAGACAGCGATCACGCGGACGACCCGTACCGCAAATACAAACTTCGGCAAACCATCATGGTCAAACTGTTCGGTCGGGTGGCGTACAATATATCAATGATTATACGGATGACCGGTCCCTCCTATACTGAGTTCCTGTTTAAGTTCCCATTCCTGCCCACTCTTGTGGCCGTCTATAGCCATCTGCCCGTCAGTCAGACCCGCACCCAGTCGTCCATTCGTGTGTTCTCCGGGCCCGGAACGGTCCCTCCTATACTGAGTTCCTGTTTAAGTTCCCATTCCTGCCCACTCTTGTGGCCGTCTATAGCCATCTGCCCGTCAGTCAGACCCGCACCCAGTCGTCCATTCGTGTGTTCTCCGGGCCCGGAATCGCGGCCCGACTCATGGCTAACGTATATGGGATGTTACTCGAAGAGCATGCAAGTTTTTTGCACATTTTTATTTTGTGATTATTAATACATAATACATAGTGTATTACAAGAGTAATTGAAAGTTAATTATGATTGAATTAAAAGTGCATTAATTGTGTAATAGTTGCGCAAAGATGTGGTGATGAGAAACAACTTAAAATCGCCCGAAAAGCCGATGTTGTCGTCGTTGGACTCACGGATTGCCGAATATAACCAATGGTTTACAACTTTTTACAAGCATTAAAACAGTTGAAAAAACAATTTAATGTAATTTATTTTATAAAATGAATAAATAAATGAAAGAAACATAAATATATACAAATTATATGATAGATTGCACTATAATTATCGCCAATACCTCTATAATTACAATTAACACAAAGTCGTTAAGTTTAAAAAGTTTATGATTTAACACAAGTTTGATAAGTATTTTTGTAATTAAACAATAGATTAAATATCAGTGTAATTCAAAAAGTAAATACAGAACTCATAACATAATGAGACAATGGATCAAATGATAGCATCGATTGTGGTAATGATGATAATATGTGAGTTGATATGATGGCAATGTCTTCAGGCAAACAATTAGTAAATAATGATTGATTCAGTTTAAAGACGTTTTATATGCATAGACTTGTGTGAAAGTGTGTGACACTGTTTTCAAGTTTTTTTGTTTGCTGTTATTGTCAACACATTGTTGTTTGTATTGTTTGTGTGAACCAAACATGGGATCAATTTGTGGTGATTTTCGTGGTTTAAGTCGAAGACAATTGTATTCAAAGATCAATGAATTAAAGACTGAAAACATGTGTTTATTAACAGATTTATTGAGATTTCAATTATTGAC